CCGTGAACATTTTTAAATAATTAAAGCAAAAACAGTGCCAAAATCTGCGTTTAATAGTTCGCATAGCTACACTTCGAATTTAATCTGAAATTTTAACACCTCCTAAAACACCACAGAGTAACATGTTCCTGAAAGTTTCAGCTCAAAACTCCAAGTATACAATTTTTAATGATTTTTATAAGTTTCTGCACAGAAACCATTTTAGGCATTTGAACACGAAAAACTCCGAAATAAAATCCGGGGCTTGGCACACATATTCCAGATACTCAGAGGCACAACATATCAAAAATTCAGCTCAAACGGATAACGACTCGATTTATGGTTAATTTATTACGATTCAGCAGCATGCTCGGTTTCGAATAATCATATCTCTCTACATATAACTCGAAACGACTTCAAACCAAAACTAAACAATTAAGGACAACTCCAAGTACTTATAACTCCAGGATTTCCACGAAAGTACCACATTACAATCAGCTCGACAATATTTCAAAGTGACAGCAATCACTTTGATATCCAATTCGCACATATTAAATAATATCCTCACAATACTTATTCAATAATAACTCATTAACATATATTAACACATATGGTTCGAGGTAACACGTCACACGAACACATTCACATAATCGAGCACATAATATCACGCAAAAATAAACGAGACGGGTCAAGCCTTATACCGTTCTCGGGAATCGAACGAAAATGGCACGAAAGGTTGACAGGCTCGAACACGCAACACGTCTCAGCTCGATTGAAGGGGGTGGTTGCTGCGTGCTCCCAGTTCACCGGAGATGGCCGCCGAACTCGCCGGAGGGAATGGTCGACGGCTTGCAGCGATGGAGGTCGGAACTCGCCGATGAATTTCGCTGTCTGCTGGTTCTCGCACGGTGGCTCACGGCGAGAGAAAACAGCGAGGGAGGACGCCGCTGCATGGAGGGGAAGGTCGACGGTGCAGAGGTGCTGTCCGGCGGTGGAGCAGTCATCTGAGCAAGGGAATGAGCTCGTCGGCAAAGGTGAGTGGTCGCGGGGTCACTGCTCGGAGACGGGGCCGCCAAACTCGCCGGGAGGAATTTGCAGAGGACGGGAGAGGGCGTGCCTGGTTGCCGGAAGTCGCTGGTTCGCAGTGGTACTCGCCGGCGGAAGGAGGTCCAGGTGTTGCAGCATTCGGGAGTCGCCGGAAGCAGGGCCGGCCGCGGCGGCGAGATGGGGCTGACGAGATGCGCTCGTCGCGGAGGGGATGAACGCCGAGAGATGATGGTGGCGGGATGAATAGGCAGCGGGAAGGGTGGAGAAGATGATGGCGATGATGAAGAAAAGCGAGGGTGCTTGTCAGATTTGTGAGAGATGGAGGATGCGCGATCGATTTTCTCTGTTCTGCTCAAAGTCGCGGTCGAGAGAAGAAAATAGGAAAAGCTGCGCGTAAAAATAAAATAGGGCTTAGGTTTAGAGTCTTTATCCTCAAGACACTCAAAACACAGTTGGGCGGGCCAATTCGGTTCGGGCCGATGGGTTCGGGGCACCGGGTCAGTGGCTGGTTCGGGGGATCAAGGAACGAATCGGCTCTCGGGCCCGACTAGACGTAGTATCAATTTGGTTATTCGGGCTCGATAAATTAAATCGCAAGATAAAATAATTAAGCCAGATATTATTTATATTTATAATACACACAATTATAAAATAACAATATTATTAATAATACAAATACTCACATAATATTAAATAATAACATTTAGACATTTAAGCATTTAGTTACAATTTGGCAAAATAAGTATCATTTAGACAATTAGACATTTAATCGAAATTTAACAGATAAATTATTTTAGATATTTAATAATATTTAGTATTCAATACTAATAATAACAACAAATAAAGATAAATAATAATAATAATAAATAAATAAATAATTCCCAAATATTCTATAATCAAACGGGGCATTACAATTATTATTATTATTATTATTATTATTATTATTATTATTATTTATACGTTTTTATGTCTTGCAAGTGCACAATATTGTTATACATTTTGCACACAAATGAATATTAGATTGCACATTTAAGATCGAAACCATCCAAACTACAAATCTACGATTCAAAATTTTATCATACTTCTGATTATTTATTTTTTATTTTAATTTCAAAATACTAACTACAATATTATAAATATACATAATAATTTAATTCGGTTATTTTGGTTAAATCGTTTATCTGGCCGAAATGACTGTCACAATGCATATTAGTGATTGCAGAAATGCACATTAGCATAATCTAGAAAAAAAAAATCTGATTACATCAAGTAAATGGCAACAAAGTCATTATTATTTGTCTAATTTCTAAAAAAAAGTCCATTTAAGACACAAAACCAATCAAACAAAAAAAAAATCATTCATCTTCAATTATCACTCACACACACGCACTGTCCAGTCACCCGCCACCCACCGCCAACGCCCCGCCGTCTGCAGCCCGCCGCCAACGCCCCGCCTTCAACTACTCAACGCCATCCGCATACTGCCATCATTCATCCGACGTCGCCCTCCTCCTAGCCGTCTCTACCATCTCCGTGCAGTCGCCGCCGCCTGCCGTCTGACTTCACGTGTCTCCTGCCGGCGAATCTCCTTGCTGCTGATACTTCGCCGGCGCCGGAACATACGCCAAAAGTTTTCTCATCGGCTATCCCCCGGCCGCCGTTCTAGCTCCGAATCCGGCTGCGGCTCCGTAACCCATGGTTTATCCTCCGTCCACGCTAAAGAACTCCCTGAATAGATAGCCGGTGGCGAGCTATCTCGATGGAGCGCACGGGTGATGGAGGCTGCAAGATAAAGAGTCGGCAACGGGACTGGCGGAGGTGATGGCGGAGATGGGATACCATGTCGGCGACGGGAGGCTCGCTGGTGTTCGAAGTGGCCGGCGTTCAGTGTGTGTTTGTGTGTGTAAAGTCGTGCAGATGCAGAGAGAAGAATGAGATCTACTGTGTGTGAATGTGTATGAGAGAGAGATAAATTAGGGTTGGTGGTTTGTGGTGGGTCCCATTATGAGTTGGATTGATTTATAATGACTAAATTACTCTTAATATTGGTCAAATTTATATATTTGAACACAATGTGTATGTTAATTACCATACTGCCATTAATGGTTGACCAAAGTTTGACTTGATCATGGTCATTGATATGATCTATCCAATGATCCAAATTCATTCTCATTTCTTTCATTGTGTTCCTTTCTCATTTGAGTGCACTTCTCTATATATACACAGTTTCTGCAATTTTTCACTAAACACTTTTAGTTACTAAAAAAAGAAATTATGTAAAAGTTTTTATTTTTCCCTTGTTTTTCTTTTTATCATTGTATATTTTCTTGGAAATAATCTTTCTTTAAAAGCATAAAGAATTTTTATCTTTTCCATAATATAATGAGTAATGCAAGATTACTTTATTTATTTATTGTGTTTCATTGTGTTTTAATTGAAGAAAAACACATAAATACAAACTAGAGGGCAGCTAAATAGCCGAATAAGTCAGCTATTCAACTGAATCTAGTTGGGAGGACTAACCCCATAGGCAGCTAGCCCTAGGTAGCCTAGAACCAACTTAAACACAACACACTAATACTAATAACAAAAACAAAAAACAAAAGCTCCCAACAGGAGAATAACACAACTCCCAGCAGGAGAATATAACAACTCTCAAACAGGAGACTAAAACACAGAACAACAACACACAACTAAACAAGAAACAAAAACACACCACAAACAAAAACATCAAACTACTACTAAACTAAAGCCCTCCCCACCAGCAAAGGAGCCACACCCAGACACTCCGAGCGAACCAACACATAAGGCCACTGTTGTAGTTTATTTTACCGCAGTAGAATCGAAAGATTCGAACACCGGGCTGTGTCTCAAGGAAGGTCAGCCGGATTATTTGTACGATATTCAATCACGCAAAAAAGAAAACAAGTCCTAAACACTCTAATTCAATTGGTTGGTTTTGATTATCAATTACGAGATTAACTACGAATGATTCTCAAACAAGGTAATTCCAATCTCACAGCACAAAGCACAATTCAAATAATGATAAAAAGGACTAGGCTGTCGGGGATAATCATTTCCGGTTCTCAATACATTCAACAAGCAATCAATTACTCGGATAAAGGACGCGAAACACTAATTCATAAAGAGGTTTATTCTCAATAGCTCACGTAACAAGAGAATTAAACATAAATGAACAATCATCGAATCAATTAACACATAGACAATACGTTTCCGAACAAGTCTATTCTAAACGAGCCAAGATCGATCGATTCCTTCCCTTTCGGTTCTAAAATCGATTAAATAGATTTGGATGGTGATCAATCATCTAACCCTACTGTAGTGCCCCATTTAATTGTGGTTTATTTGAGAATAATTTATGATTATTTATTATTATTATTATCATTATTATTAATTATTCCGTGTAAATTTGAATGTCTAAATATTATATGTCTAATTGCCAATTAATTGCTAATCGTATATTTTGATTAATAATATTAGTATTTTAAAAGTAATGTACTTGCTTAATTTATATTGTCCGGAGTTTTGTTTATTTGTCGTGCGATCTTTTTGAGTTGTCGAAATTAGTAATCGGAGAACCCGAGCCCGAGAGCTGGATTTATTTTCGTGTGATTGAATCGGGCCCGAGAGTTGAATTTATTAAACATGCGATTTAATCGAGCCTAAAAATACCCGCGTGAACCAAAACCGAGCACGTGAGCCGATTTATTTCGAAACCCGGCCCAACAACTCGAAACTGCCGGTTTTTGCTTCTCCTATTTCGTAAACATTCTTGTGGGCCAAGACAAAATTTAACCTATTCTATTGTGCACACGTATATATAATCTGTATATATCTTTCTCCTCTTAAAAGCTAAATTGCCGCAAACCCCGCAGCTTCTCTTTTCTCTCTCGCCCAATCTCACGCGGAGAAGATTTTTCATCGTCTCCCTCATTAAATCCGACACCACTATCTCACATCTCTCCCTCACCTATCTCCATCGCCACCCTCAAGCCTTCCTCAGCCGTGTTTCCGATCGCCATACCCAGGATCCCGACGGCCCTCTTTCCCGCGACCTGCAACTCCTTCCGGCGATCTCTCCTCGCGAAGTTTTTCCCGGCGAAACCCTCCTCCTCCTCCTTGCACAGGCCGTCCGGGAGCCACCTTTCCGGTGAGCTGCTGCCCTTTGCCTCCAAGCCCAACTTCCGGCGACCCCTGTACGTGAATTCCGGCGAGTCTTCTTCCTCTCTGAACCAGCAGTCGCCATCGCCATCTTTCTACTCGTTTTCCAGCGACCGCACCTGCAAATCCGGCGAGTACCCTCTACTCGAAGAAGAACCCGCAGTCGCCATCTCGCCGTCTTCCACACGCAGCGCCACGATGAGAACTTCCCCCGCCGTGACCAACCTCTGCGAGCAGACCCTTCCGGCAACCCACCACCGTGCGCAGGCCCCGTCTCCGCCGTACTGGGGCCGCTACTCCACCGCGAGCCTCAGCCGAGCCCGTCAAGGAAGGCCGCGACCCTGCTGCTCCTCCGTAAGTCCTCCGGCGAGCCGAGCGTGAGCCGTCGAGCCTCGTTGTGCGTCGACCCTCGTTCCGTTTTCGTGCGCAATTCCCGAGAACGGTAACGACGGCTTGAACTCCAACTATTTATGATTCGATTTATTTTGTCGTGTTATTCGTGTTAAGTTTAAACGTGCAATGTAATTGTTATTATGATTTCATGTGATTACGTTTGAATATTGATGTCGTATTATACGTGATCTTGGTCGATTCGTGCGAATCAAATGAGAACACGTTAAAAGTGTTACGTTGCTATGTATTTAGGGACTTAGGATTATTACGAACACAATGGCATTGGCCTTGTGTCGATTGGAGGTGTATATTTGCCGTTATGATTTTTCGAATATCTAAATGGCTGTTTTGAATGTGAAATTCATTATAAATTGAATACTAGCCCGATTTCCTTGAACTTTTAGATGCAGCTGTCTTTGATGAACATATAGCTTGTGTAAACTTTTCGTGATTTTTGAAGGTCTGGAACTATTTTTAAAAATTAATTTGATTTCTGTTCAGTTTCTTGTAAAATGCATAAGTAATTGTGTAGTGTTCTTTTCTGAACAATTTTCGAGTATGTTATGTTTTAGGCATGATTATATGTGGTGTAAAAGTTTTAGAATATTTGAACTAGGTTTGATAGGATTAACAAATTATTTTGTGATTCTACCCGAATTTATTTTAATTATGATAAATTGTTCTGAAGTTTAAAAATTCTGAAAATCTGTGGAGATGCTGATTATATGATGTTTAGCATGCTGTAATATGTTTAGAATTTTTAGAGTTCATTTGTGATCAGTTCTAATATAATTGTGATATTTGGCTGATTGTGGTTATAATTTTATAAAATTGTTATCCTGAGTGTTGAAGGCTGACAAATTTATGTGATGCTGTTCATATGCTGTAGTAGTTTAGATAAAAATTTCATAGCCTGAATCGTTCACTATCATGTGCTTTTAATTTAAACTCATTTTTGCTGAAAAACTTGTTTGAAATTTATAAAATTATACATAAGGAGTTTGAAGCTGAAATTGGGTGATCTTACTTAGAACTGGGATGTGAAATTTATGTTAAAGTTTCAGAACCTAACTTATTGATTTGATATGCCTTCTAATTCAAGTGTGAATTTGAGAAATTGTTTTTCTATGTTGAAATGTGTTAAGTGTTGATGACCAAATGTGCCATGTGTTTTGCTTGTGGCTCGTTTGTTGTCTTTCACTTGCTTTTGTGTGAACTCGAATATGTGATTTGATCGAGTCTAAGTCCTAGTGTTCCCATATCCACAGAACTTCACGAATCACTTGGTCGAACCGAGTTCGGCTAAGTCAACTTGTGAATTTGCTACGTAGGTCTAGATTAAAGTGTTGACTTTAGTATCTGAACTTAATGTAGGTGTCGAGAGGTGTTGAACCTCGCCTCGTCTCGAGATTTGTGATTTGAACTGTAGCTGCTATCAGGTGGGTACATTTATGATGTATTTTATCGCACTTACTATTTCGTATAATGTTTCTTTTGAAAAATTATTGTATGCATGAGAACTCTAGTCTAAGTGTCCCGAACGATAGTGCCTTTGACGAATGCATAACAGTGTGAGGTCACCTGCCCGTTGTATCCGGGAGGAGACGCCCTGATCCGTGTGAGTTTCGGGGGGGAAAAACATCTCCACTGTCTCCTGGAAAACATCCATGATCCGTGAGTAGTTCGGGGTGGACTCCCATGATCCGTGAGTAGTTCGGGGTGGGGGAAATTTTCCAGTTACGGCCTTGCCGATGTTTGGTCGGAAGGTTGTTGTATGTACATAGGAGGTTTGCGATAGGGCCAAGTAGGGAATTAGACTGTTGGATTCTATGCATACTGAATACTATGGTTATGATGGTTTAAAATGTTATGCGAGATATACTGTGCGATAATGGTGAGCTTGTTGGTTATACTCACCCCCATTATTTTCTTTGTTGTTTTGTCTCTTCCTTTGTTTTAGGTTGAGACGAGCTGGAGGCGGTGGCGTAGGACGAGCGAGATGGTGGTCACTGTTTGATGATATCTTATGCTTCCGCCATGAACTTGTTACTTATTTTATTTGCTTTCAAATACTGTGGATTATTTATTTATTTGCCTACGAACTATGTTTGAGTTTCGTTTGAACCTTGATTCATGCTAGACGTTTGGGAATGATTTTAAAATTATGATTATTGGGATTGTTATTTTGATAGCTCGAGTATGCGTAGGTTCATTGAACTGATTGTTTGGATGTGTTTAATTGTTGTAGTTAGTAAGTAGCGTCGTTTCTCGATAAATGTTTTAACTTGGATTTTCAAAAAAAAAAAAATAACTCTGATTTTTATCAAATAAATTCGGTAAATTCTGTAAAATTAAACGGGGCGTTACAGTTTGGTATCAGAGCCAGTCTTGCTTTTCTGTAGACTGGTTCATATGTGATTAAGTGTTTAATGACCATTCGACCACTCGCTTCGTCACTCTGCGCCAGCTCAAGGTATGAGTTTTATTGTTTCGATTAATATCGATATCGTGAATATGTTTTGTTCTTTTATTGGGGCTTAGGAATTTACCCTCCGTTTATTCGGACTTGAACTCTAGTGGTGTAGAGTTAAATGCCGACTTTAGAGATTTTTGTTGTGAGTTTTGGTTGGGTGTTATCGAGTTAAGTTTGGTCTATAGCAGTGCACTCGTTATGAGTTTCTGTTTAGTACCATCGAGTGAGAATCATTCGTAAGCTATCTCGAAAGAGAAGGCTTAAGTAAAGGGACCAGACAAACGAAGAAGTCCCGGATGTGTGGATTATTCGGAAGTCTGTGACTATTGTGGATATAACTATTAGACGTGTGTTAGAAACCGGTTAATGAGAACCGAGAGTGGAGTCTAGGTGCCGGTTTCATGTTGATTGGTCCGACCAATTATGCCTGTAGATTCGTGGAAATCAGTTTAATGGCTGATTTCCCTTGTTATAATTTGTTCGTTATTATTCGTTCTTACTCGTTGGTTTGTCTCGCAAATTCTTCGAGGATATCGATAACTCTCGTCTTTTATAAATTGAGTATCATGTAGTTGCTGTGATAGACATGTTTTGTGCATTTATTTCTGTTTGGAAGTCATATTAATTGTGGTCGAGCTTAGAACATTCGTTGTATATGTTCATTATTACTTCATGAGAAAATGTATTTTTCGTTGCTCTGTTGTGCCTCCGTTTAGGCTATCTGAAACCTGTTATTTGAAGTTGTAATCTTCATATTAAATGTACTATGTTTGGTTGTCTGTATCTGGGATTTGGAATTTCTCGATTCCGAGTTATATCAAATAAGTTATGCTTTTTACGAGAATATTGCGCGTCCAGTTTTCCTGTTACCCGGCAGCATGTGTGTAATTAATGTATGACCTATTTATCATGTCGTAATGTGCTCATATGAATTTATGCTCTTCATGGAAGTTATAGGTCTATTTCTTATATTTCAAATGAGATAAATTTCCCGTTAATATGTGCTCTGTAGCTCGATCTAGATGATAAAAACCTAAAGTGCTGTCTATATCACATGTTAGTTTCTGGCAGGTTTGTTGAATCATACGTTTTGTGATCAAACTCGTTGATAATGTGATTATTTTCCAACGTGATCTTCAGCAAAGTTGTAGAAACTTGAGTTGTCTAGCATGTGGTTTTTGAATTTCATTGAAAGCATGTCTGTAGCTCCACTTAGCTAGCTTTTACTGAAGTCTGGTCAGTGGCATATCCCAAGTTTTGGACTGTAAGTAAATTTTCAATGTTTGTTGATTTATCACCTGCTAAATGGCCTTATTTGCTTTCGGTGTCTTCATATAAATTGTATGGTCTCTTAGAATTCAAATGTCACAAGTTTCATTCATATAGCTTTTTGTTCATAGAGGTGCATTAAAAATACGAACTTCGTGCAATCAGATTTTTGGAAATTTGCAGCAAATTTTAATGTGTGAGCTTAAGCTGTTTCGAACCCTTTAACCTACCCGTTCACGCCCTTGCCGCCCGAGTGCTTTTCCCTTGCCTTTGGCTACTACCTTTCGCTTAGTAGTCAAGTTGAATTGCATTTTGTGACCCATTCTTATTATTTGATTTTCGTTCTGTGACAAATTCGCTTGATTTTCTTTTCCTTGCGTAGAATTTTGGGATGGAGTTGAGCATCGAATTTCAGTTTCTATTGATCCTCATCTGATATCGAACCGTGTGCAGTAACGTCGCTAAGTCGATGCGAAGGTCAACTTGAGAATACCTTAGCTTCGATATAGACGACGATTAATTTTTCTTTCGTGATCTATTTTAACTTTGAACCGAAGTGGCGTACGTGAGAATTGTCGCATACCTGATCGGGAGGAGCCTCGACACCTTTCTAGGGATGTTTTGTTATAGGAGAATCTTTTAAGAAGGGTAGTCGAGCCAGATGTAAGCACATCGTCCGGTGCAGAGCCATCGTCGTTTTCGAATTGCGTTCATAGTTAATCTTTGGAAACTCTCGTTCTTTTTCCCTTTGGAGTTTCGAGAGTGATCCTTTGTATTTCTTTGACTTTTTGCAATCCTTTGAAAACTCTTATTTTTGGTTCGTTGGGAATTTCCACTTCAAGACTTGCAACCGGATGTATTGATTAAGACGAGCACATTCGTTTTTCTTTTTCCGCTTGTCTGAAATCGTTCCTTTGATTTTATTTGGTGA